GTACTTGTGCTGTTTCTTTGTAACATACTTCAATGCAGGCAACCTTATTTTATTGCTTTTGTGCTGTTCTAGATGCTCAGTTATTCTTTTTTTTCAATTCCTCGTTTGTTTGTTTTTTGTTAGAGGGCTTTGTCGTTTCTGAGGAGAAGGCTCTACTTTCTGAGCTACTTCTGGCAAGGCTTCAGTTACTTTGTCCTGGGTAGAACTGCCCTTTACAGTTCTTCCAATTCTATTTCTGTGAATACTTGATTTCATGTTATAAATCAACATTGATCTGCTAGCCTCTGTTCTGTTATTTCCAATTCTGAATGTTGTTCTTTCCAGAAGTGGTACATTCTTTTCAGATATCCTCTTCTCTTTGGACTTGATTTGTAATAGATCATTATTTCTTTGTTTTCAGTTTTTGTATATTTGCCACAAGTAGACAACTTTTTTCCAGTAGTTCTGCAGCTGCTGGCCTGGTTGCTTAGCCAAAAGTCCTGAGTCCTTTGGCCCACTTGTCACCAGATATCCAGGAACTAGAACACCTAGGGCAGTCCTTGTTGACCGGGCAATGACCAATCTGGTATGGGTTTCTGTAAATTACGTCTCACCATATTGTTTATGGGAGAGATACTCTTTGGCTGGCTCTTCTGATGAGACCTGCCCAGTATGATTGAACCTCTGACATAGCTCTCATCCTCCTCGGAGCATGCAAGCCCCACAACTACGTCAAGGTAGTGCCTCACTGGGGATTGTTGTTGTTGTTGTTGTTGTTATTTTATCCTTCCTTGTTTATATATATAACTTGAGGCAGCAAATATATTTAATACTCCTGCCTCCTATTTTTCCCCATAACAGCAACTTTGTGAGGTGGGTTGAGCTGAGAGCGACTGGCCCAAAGTTGCCCAGCCAGCTTTCTTGCACTGTAACATGTTAAAGCTAAATGGGTTTATTATATGGCAAATTTCCTTCAACAGATTAAATCTTCAGTCTCAGTTACAAATATTCTCAAGTAATATATTTTACTTAGGATGAGGGGAAATAATTGGTGACCATTTGCTAAAAAGTAAAGTTTTCAGAGACCCAGGACATACTGACCTTATCAGTTCCAGCTGAGCAAGTTCCTGGTTTGCTTGAAATATTGGCTTTTTAGTAAAAAGTTCACCCAGGATACATCTACGAAAAAAGAGCAAACAACTGGAGGAGACTTGGGGTGGAGGGCAAACTAAAAGTCTCTAACCCAAATACATCTTCCAGGGAAAATAAAGCAGTGGTTTAGCTTTATGGTATCAAATTGTTCAACTACACCATTATAAAAACTTTCCCAGAAAAACTACACTCTCAGCTTAAAACATTTAGAAGGCCAAGGAATGTTGATAATCCCCAGGAAAACAGAAGAAAATAACTCCCTAGAAATAAACTATGTTCACAAAATACTTTGAAATCTTTGAAAACCCCACTGTCTTTGTAGTGCTGTCCCATTACCTCATAGGTACACTCTAATGGCCTCACCAGCCCCATTAGGCACATGATATATTATATCCAATGAAATGCCTGGCTCTTATATCCAATCACATGTATATTCTAATTTGCACAAGTCTAAAGAGGGACTGTAACTACACCCCTCTTTAGGCTGTCTTTGCCTCCAGCACTGGCAATAAACCAATTTGTGCTTTGGTGTAATGTTTCCTGGTCTCCGATTCAAATGTACCATTAAAATATTCTACCACGTAATCTATACTTTTTCTAAAATCACTTTGTTACATAAAGTTTATTAGCAAAAAAATCCCTTACCCACAGCTCCAGACATCAATGGCAGGTGTATATCGTTCCTCTCCGAGCAGAAGTTCAGGGGGACGGTACCATAAAGTGATAACTTTGTTGGTATATGGTCGACTGGAAAAAAAGAGAATATTTTTCTATTTTTTCCAAAAACAATTTCCTATTAGACATTTTTCCAAACCATATTATAAAAATGAATTAAACCATCCCATAGGTCTTCTGAGCTTACTTTTCAATAGAAGCAGAGATTTATTTCCTATAATGCGTCTTCCTGAATTGCTACTAAATTTCTGGGAGTCGGGTGGTATATACATTTAATAAATTATTCTTATTTTTATTCTTATTGTTGTTAGTTGCATAGTCAGCCAGATGTTTAGACTGGATTTCACATTTTTATCCTACCTATCGAGTCCTTCCCAATGACCTGGGATAGGGAGATGTTATTTGATGGATTAATGGTGTTAAAGGTATCGTCGCAGGATATAAGCTGTTCCAAGTAAAGCTGCCTTTTGCAACTGACTGATGGTGATTTTGTCAGTGCTGTTGGTCTTCAAGTGGTGCTCCAGATGTTTGGGGATTTTTGTCAAGTGGTGCCGACTACTACTACTACTACTACTACTACTACTATTATTATTATTATTATTATTATTATTGCATTTTATATTTTTACTGCCTGTTACAGATTGAATCCCAAGTATTCAAACATAAACAAAGAAGCCCTATAAGATCCCTTTTTTTCTGAAAGAAAATAATATTCTTCAATTCATTATTAATGGTATAAATAATAATGGTATTTAATTATTAAATTAAAACTGCATATTGTAACTGGCAACTGATATAAACAGTTGCTGAACACAACTATTGTTAACATTTATAATAGAATTACAGCAAGACTTTATGCTGTTTGTGGGAGAAGAAAAATTAAACATTTGTAGCACATCAATTTTATAATTATTTAGTTTTATTATGTTTTATCTGCTATCTCAGAATGTCTTCTTTTTATATTGGTCAGTGACCACAATAAATTTATTGTATTGCTACAAGGGTGGGCCACCTGCTGCAAGAAAACAATTCAGGACTCTTGCAAAAGCAATCAATCTTAACTCTCATTACTTGGGGAAGGAAAGATGCTCAACTCACTTTTGCCTTTGAGTTCCCATTATTTCTTTTCACCCCAGCCAACATAGGCAAGTAATATCAAAGTATAAAAGAAGTTTAAGAATATGCCTTAAACTGAGTCAGATCCTGGTTCTTCTAGCTCTGCATTGTCAACAATGACTGCAAATAATCCACCAAGATTTCAGGCTGATTACCCTATCTAGAGATGCCAAAGAATTAATCTTTTTAAAAAAGAGTCCAACTTGACTTATAATAATTAATATCCCAGGGCATATAATCCAACATCTTTGCTAAAGCTAAGCAGATTTAAACCTAATTTCAGTTGATAGATATCCCTGGAAGGAATCTCTACTTTATTAGCCTTGCAGAACCAACTTAAAAGCTTAAATGTTTCAATACAGTACTCTTTTGGCCCCAGCTGATTGAGCAGTGGCTTCTATTTTGTGAATTTACTATAAAATTTATATTTTTGTTTTATCATTTTGTTTTTATGCTTATATACCACCCTTTAGGACTGGGGTAGGTTATAGAAATGGTTAAACGAATAATATGCTACCATGAGTTATAGAAAAGACTTATGGTTAAAGTTTTGTATTACTGGGAAAACCCAGATTTAACTACCCAACCCACTTGATCACTCTACTTGCTCATATATGGCACATTAACATCTAAGCCAAATTCTGCCAATCTTAATACAGATAATACTAGATTGATAACCAAGTTATAAGAGAAGTGCTGTTCTTCAAATGCAATTAAATGTTTTTATACACTCAAAGTAACTGTTTGCTCTGCGACTAGTTCTGGCATCACTTCCTTAATCAGTTTTTATGGAAGAGTAATTTTAATCTCAGAAAATTATGTCCAGTATGCCATTTGATGCCACTGCTCTTGGGTGGGTTTCCTTTCAAACCAAGATCAGGGCTGAATCCATCTTTTGCTGCACAAAGCAAAGGCCAATATGGCATCCCTGCCTATTCAAATGTTATGTACAAAATCAGTCAGACTGGTAGTCAAATCCTACTTCAACACTGACTCTAGGATAGCCTGACACCACTGAGATCAACAGCCTAGTTTAGGAAACACAGAAGAAGCTGCATTGCACTATACTCAGCCCCTATTCTTCAAAAGTTCACCACTGTTCCTCTTTTAGCACATGGTGTCTTATGTAGAGGCCCACACCCTGAATAGCTTTCTGTTATGATCTATAGAAAAATATTCTATCACACACGTCTTCACATTCAGTACAGAGGTACAGTACAGAAATATTTTTACTACAGGTAGTCGTCATTTAGAAACCACAATTGGGATCCACAACTCTGTCATTAAGCAAAGCAGTTGCTAAGTGAAAAATCACATGACCATACTTTGCTTACAGGTTTACTTCCACTTTCTTTTGCTTTACAGCATCAGAAGGATATGACCCCAAACAGCAGGGTGGGTCCAAGTGGTGGGGAAACTTTCCAGAACTCGACCCATAAGGAAGCCGGATAAAAGGGCAAATCTTATAGCCCTTTTTCCCCACTTCCAGCCCTTTGGAATGCTCATCTCAATGCTGGGATAATTAGCAACGAGAATTGATGTTTGCATTTACACTCATTGGAGAGGAATGGATTATAGGAGAGAAAGCAGGCACACAATGGGAAATACACACCCTGCTGTTTGCCTTAGTAGGCAAAAAAGCCTTCAAGTGTGAAACTGATTAAGGTCTTGTCAATTTCAAGCAGCAGCTGCCAGCCAGCCAGAAAGTCAGGGAGTTCTAATCAACTAATTAAGGTCACAAAGTTGAGCTTGTTAATTTGCCATTACCACTTTTTAGGGATGTGCTGTACTGCAGAGGAAAGCAGCTCAGAAAGAGATAGCTTATTTAGGCAATCTCCCTACTCTGCCAGGGCAGGGAAAAGAAAAAACAGGTCAGGCTTATATAGGACAATTCATACTAACTGGCTGTAATGGCAAACAGGTTGTAAATGTGGGCATTGGTTGCAAAGTTACTTTTTCATCACTATCATAACTGTGAATGGTCTCTGTCCAAGGCAGTCACTAAATGAGAACTACCTGTATCTTCATGAGAAGTACTACTGAGCTACTGAGTTAATGCACTGGTGCTACGAAGTAATTATCTCCATTTATATTCTACAGGAATTAAAGATTTTACAATAATTGTTTCCAGTTGTATTTGGATTTTTACACTGTACTATTACAAAAATTATATATTTTTAAATTATAGCGCAAGCCCATTATAATAAGTTAAACAAGATTGTGCAACGCACTTTAAATAAGATTGAATAAGTAAAGGTGTTATATTATGAAAAAATCATGTTCATGTTAAAAAAAAGGACTCCAAAGTCTATGGATTAGTCTAAGCTAATTTAAATCCCATTGATTTCAATCAGCTACCTTAAGTATGACTAAGCCTGAAGCTAACCTAATGTAAATCAACTTAGAATAAAAAATCCCTTAAACTTTAATTCAGACTATAAAATTTTAAAATAACAAGTATAACCAAAGCCTTTAAGGTCACGGAAGAAATATTTTAAAAATTCAATGTCATTTATTTAAATTTTAAAGGTTTATGAGATATTTTCAGAACACTTCCAAAAAAGAGACACATCGTTTTAGATTAATATTACTTACCTCTCTTCAGAGCTGTACAGACGAGCAAGACCAAAATCTGCAAGCTTGATCTGCCCTCTAGTGGAAATAGTAAATTATGGTTGAATGTATAACTGAATATCCATAATAACTATATTTAATTCCATTCTAATTTTAAACTTTTTTTTTGCCTTGGACCCGCCCAAAACTCCTTGCAGTGCAGTCCTCATGCATAAAATTCAAAGCCTAAGTTTTACTTTTCCTCCATAAAAAGTTGGGGACACATGATTTAAATGATGCAAACATGCAGTCAAGAAATCAGAAAAACAAACCAACCATTAAAAAACCCTAACAAATCATTGTAATACTTATAAACATTTTACTCCTTTGTTGTAAGATTAACATCATAAATGAGACTACTGACTTCTACAACCATGCTGCAGTTGCCAATATTTTTAATACCTACATGCCACTTTTCAACTACATTATCAAACTGCTATGTAACTAAAACAATAATTTAAAAGCACATAAAATACAAATAAAATAATAAATAATTGCAGTTGAGCAGGAAAAGAGTTAACTTCCCACAAATTACTGTAGAAGTCTTATTGTATAAATCATGAGTGGTGGACTAATCAAACCAACTCCCAGCAGCCCCAACCAGGATGGGTGTTGGTGAGCCATACCAGGAATGGTACTTTAGCATATGTTCCTCATGCCTAATGTGAGCACTGGGGAACTGCAAGTTGTTCTTGATAGTGTATGTCATTAATAAAATTCTGTGTGTATGTACCACTATGTACAGGTGAAAAAAGGGCTCTTTGGGGAATGGAAAACACAGTCCTACTACTCAAATGCATAGATTCAATACATGGAGAAGCCTTATTTTCTTTCATAATTTATTGATTCTATGGGAGATACATACATCTCTAACCTTAAAATTATAATATAGGATCTCTGCAAAAGACTTATGAGTTGCATTTTGCCTAAAAGTACTCTGATTAAAATAACTGGAACTTTAGTTGTGACTTACTTAAGACCCATTGCTTTCAATATGTCTATTACAAACATAAGTAAGCCTGGAAAAAATTCTAGGTTTATGTTAGTTATGCATTCAAATAAATGAAATCTTGAGGCCAGTATTGAACAAATAATTTTCATTATCTCCAGCAGATTTAACAAAAAGCACATTACCTATGTCAATAAAAATGTTATCATCTGAAGATGAATTTATAAACTACTCTATCAAGTATTTTTTCTATTTCTAAGTTTGGGAAATATAATTCTTATAAAACTGGATACATACCTGTTGTTTAGTAAGATGTTAGAACATTTAATATCTCGATGTAAGAAATTCTTCTTATGGCAGTAATCTAAGCCTTCCATCAACTGCCTCATGAAAGATTTAATATGACTTTCATCAAAATGAACCAAGCCAGATTCCAGAAGCCCCATCAGATCATGATCCATATATTCAAATACAAGGTAGAAAGCACCTGGAAGAAATTAAGATAATTTTATATCTAGCTTAATTTTAAAGAATGCCATTGCTTATTCGGACTATAGCAGTAAATCTTGCTTAGTTAACAGAGTTCATACACATGTTGTTCCATTTGTTTAGTATATACACAACATAATTCCCCTGAACACTTTGTATGAAGGGAGGGGACATTTCAAGTTTAAATATCTTTATCTCAATAATCACCTTTAAATACTATGGGGAAACACTACAAATATGTTCTGATTTGAGGGTTTATTTATAAAGTCACAGTAAATGATCAAATTAAAAAGAAAAGGGAACTATGTATGTGTGAGATGGATTAAAAGAAGAAAAATGAGTTAAAGTAGCAGGTAAAATACAGATAGTTCTCAAGTTACAACCATTTGGTCAGTGACCGTGCAAAGTTACGATGCGGCTGAACGAGCGGTATTTATGACCTCAAAGTCCCCTGCAGTCATGTGATTGCGATTCGGGCACTTGGCAACCAGGTCACACTTACGATGGTTGCAGCAGTCATGTGGTCACCATTTATGACTTTCCCTGCTGGGTTCCCAGAAGCATAGTCAATGGGGAAGCAAGCAGGGAAGATCGCAAAAGTTACTCCCACTTTTTCTCCTGTGGAGCCCCATTTATCCCCCCACCTGCACTCCATAGCATGCACCCTGTGGCCCCCACTGGCCTGCCCACAGCCTCCAACCCGCCTGCGCCCCGCAACCCATCCACACTCCATAGCCCGTGGCATCCATTCACTCCTACCACTCCATAGCACCTGCCAGTGGCAACCCCCACCTCCCAGGGGACCCGCACACCTTGCCTGGGACTCCCACCTCTTCCTGCTTAATGACCCATGCAGTCCTGGGGTTATGATGGCAGCCAGGACTGCCGTCGCTAAGCAATGCGGTTATGTGACATCACGCTTTACAACTGCATTGCTTCGCGCCAGAAATTCCATAACCTGAGGACTACCTGTAGGTTAATATCAAATAGGATAAAGTTTATGTGTGTGTTTATACATACATAGACACATACAGAGCAATAGCAAGACAGTAAATAGTACTGGGTAGTTAGTCTCTCAACCAGGAACTGTGGGACTAAACAAGTTTAGTTACTGGCTTCTAAAATTTAACACCTTTGTTAGAGATTTCAGTGGAGCTGTCTGCAAATAGAGTGTATTGTCTCATCCAAGCCACCTCATATACCAAAAAAGTGTAACAGAACTAACTGCCAATCCTAGTATAATGGGAAGTGCAGCAGGACATGAGATATTGATTCAATGGTTATTTTAGAACATAGACAGTGGTGTCTAAACATGAAATATTACTAAACTGCCCTACCGCTTCAACAGTATGGCATTATATCCTTTACGTTTAGAGTGTATCTTAACAAATAGTTGGGAATAGCTAATGGTTAAGATAAACATTCTCTAAAATATAATTTAGTATTTTCTGTCAGTTTGTAAATTAAGATACAAAATACATTGTTTTACCTTAGGAATAGGTACTCCAGTTTCTCTTCAGAGAGTATCAATCTTTTGCCCTCAGTTTGAGGATAAAGCAATCATTCACCGAATTGACAATTCCCTCCTCCGCCTCATGTTTTACTTAAACAGTGGAAGATTTTCCCCCTCATTTTACAGCAGCTACTCCAGCATCACTATTTCTAATATGTCAAAGTTCAAGAAAAATAATTCTGGACCTTTCCATAATCCCTTGGTTAAATGAAAATATATTCTATCTTACCTCCCCTCCCCAACCCCCTTTCCATCTTGGAAATTATAGTTCATCTAGATCTGGAGTACAGCCCTTATTGCAATATGAAAATAAAACAGGACATTAAGGATATTATTATACTTTTTAAGTCTGAATACCAACTCAAAATCTAATCTATTTCCCAGGTGCCTACAATTTTAAATTCTGGACAGTTTTAGCCAAAAATCATTCAACTAAACCAGAGTCCACAAATCCCAAACATTAGAAACCAGGATCAACTGCTTTCTTCACAAGAACGTATTAAAAGAAATCCAAGATTCCCCCACTCTTGCTCCCACTGCTACCATCACACACCAATTTGGAGAGATGTTTGGGGGGCAAATCCTAGGCCATCTGAAAACATCATCCTTTTCCTATTTTACTAAAGATATGCCTATGCATTTACCACAATTCCTTGCCCCTTTGCTAATCTTTCATTTATTCAAAACAGGTACATAAGTACAACCTTACAATATGCTTTCAGTGTACACTATTTAGACAAACCCTAGAATTTCATCAAAATAATAAAAAAGCCAGAATGAGCTCTTCCAAAAGTAAATCAGCAAACACACTATTTAAGAAACTCACTTAAGATACTCCACTACATGTATTTTGCATCTTTTATTTTCCTTTCTATGTATATTAAACAGGTCTGGCAGGCACAACCAAGACTGTGTTCCAACTTCAGGGAATTCTGTTGTAAACATATGTATGAAAGGAACAAGCAAACTTCAGGTTTGCATAGTCCTATCCTCCCCCTTCCAGATGGCCAAGAGGGGGCAATTGGAAGCTTTCACTTCCACTCTTAATTAACAACAGTTCTAGGTCTGTAAAATAAAATACAACTGATTTTAACCAAAGTTATTTAAACAGACACTGATTTCCTATGGCAGAACACTTGAAATAGCCTTAGTTTTGTTTTATTTGGAACGTGGAACACAAAAGGTACTCAGTTTCACTGATTTGACTTGTATGAAACAATAGTTAACCAAGTTTATTAGCATAGACAACATAACAAATTACAGTTAATCAGAAGTAGAGATGTGTAAAACGTTTTGAACTCTAACACTTGTTCCTTGGAACAGAAGAGTGTTAACCTTGGAACAAAACACTCTTGTTCAAAAAGGTTTGTTCTGACTGTGAAACAAAGTTCACTGATTTGCTCTCAACTTGAGACAAAACAGGGTTATTTTAAGTGTTGTTTTGAGAGTCTGATGTCCTATGACCAGTTTGTTGCTTTACAAGTTAAGGCTACCCTAAATTTGTTTAAATCAGTAAAGTCAGTAAAGTAGCCTGGGTCTGGTTCTATCCCTGTCACAAATGGCTGAGACCAGATGAGGGAAGAAGGAATGGAAGTGAGGAAAAAGAAAGAGTTACTTAAAGCACACACACAGAGGAAGATAGGTGTGTCACTGACTTGCTTAGTCATCCAGGGTGTTATCTGTGTAGACTAGCCGGAAAAAAACAAAGCATGTTTAAACTGTTGGTTCTACTGTTTCCTACAAGAATTTTTTAAACATTTTGAAAAATCTCCTGTTAGCCAACTTTTCTGTAGATAAGCTGACAGAAGCCATCAGATTCATGAACCCATTTAGCTTTGGGACCCCCAGAATAAAAAGACCAGCCTAAAAGTTTTAAATTCTGTTCCACATGTAACACATAAGGCTTTCCAAGTTCTCTTCTTTAGAACATGGCCAACTTGAAACATTCTGATAGGATAAACTATGTCAGGTTGTTTTGTCCCAACTGTGAAAAAAAAACTTTTTTTTTTGTCTCAAGCATACTCCTGATCAAAAGTGAAAACAAAAGCTTCTAAACAAGTTTCCCCAGCAATGCAGGAAAAGAGAGGAAGAGAAAGAGAGTAAGAACAAGGATTATTGCATTCTATATTATATCTCATAAATAAGATAAATATTGTAGGTGTGCTTTATACCTTTCTCAACCCCTTTCAAATACAATAACTATACAATAATTAAATACAATATAGTATTGTTTCCAGAAGATGCGTATTTTTTCCAACATTTAAGTTTACAAAGCATGAATTACAATGATACCTGCATTTTTCAATAAATGTAAGAAAATGCAGTTTGTTACAGACACAAATAGGAGCATTAAATTATCTTCTTTCACATGCAAAAGGGTCACTGCAGTTTTTGCACAATGAGAAGGACTAAGCCAGATGTTCCCAAACTTTCTCGGCTCACAGAACCTTAATGTCTCAGTAATTCTTTCACAGCTCCCCTAAGCCAAAACAAATACCTAACTAACTGTTAAGTCCAACAATTTAATGTTGTAACAGTTTAGTAGGCATTTGAAAAAATATACATAAATTGAAAGAAAAGCATTTTTATTTCATTTTTAAATAACCACAATTATTTACTAATGAGATGCATGTGCTTGTTAGGAACTGCACAACTTCTCAAACCTTGGAATCAGTCAACCATTCTCATTTCCTGTTCCAGATTATTTTCACATGGAACTTGCTTTTTATCACAGCAACTGCCAAAAACCCAGCTTCACAAATAGATGTCACAAAAATTGAAAAAAAACTATGGTGCCCATGTGAATTTGCTGTGGTGCCCCCAGGAACCACAAAGCACACAGTTTGGGTACTGCTGGAGTAAGCATATTTTGGAAGCTAGGAGACTACACTTAGTTTGATAGGCAGTGGTCTTGGCTTAGATGCTTATGTAGGTGAGACTGAGATTTTTCTTTCCAGGTTTGCAGAGAAGAGGTTGAAGAAAATTTTGAAGGTGAAAAGCTTTATTGTTTTTCCCTTTAATGTCAAGGTTTTGCTTAAAAATGTCATCCTTTCAAATTGAATAACTGCTTTTTTAAAAGCCAGCGTATCTAGCTCAATTCTCTATGCAATAACTTGAAAATACTTTTGGTTTCCGGACTTTCGAGCGAGGGAACAGCAAGCTAAGACGTCTCTGAAGGAGCAGAGACAACACTGCAGCCAAGAGTGATGGACTGGTAATAAATCTGGTCCAACAGAACCTCTCCAGATAAGGAAAGGATGAAAGATCTCCCACTTGTGTTCCAGACAACTGCTTCTTGCAAGGAGACCACAGGACAGTGGTCGACTTGAGGGTTTGAGCCCCAGGAATTGAGGAAAGCCATCAATCTCTCAACTGCAATGGAGCCTATATGGACACTGGGTTTATCAAGCCTCACTTTATAAACACGTGGAATACACTATTTTAAAGTTAAAAGAAGTCTTCCAAGCAACAAGTTTGAAAAACTA